CAAAGCTGAGGCAGCGGAAAGCGTTGCGCTTCCATCCTCCCCCCCAAAAAAAAGAATCGAGAAACGGGGGCAAAAAGCCGGAAGGTCGCTTGGCGCCAATTAATCGAAACATTCGATTTGCCGTCGTTTCCGCCAAACTGGCGGCAGCGACGAAACTACAATACAACACAGCCGCTTTATAGCGCTCCGAGCGCTAATAACGAACCCGGTCGAGCGATTACACGGCGTGATTTCGCGCAGATTGGACGCGAGTGATTAATTCTCGCGGCCAATCCCGCTGTGTCGTCCCCGTCGCTCTCTCTGTGGATTCGTCGTCGTCGAAATCCAACCCCTCCGGGAGAGGATACTTTAATCCCGCAACCCAACGGAAAAGCGGTACGGTGCGGTTATTAATTCGTATGTCGGTTTTCCCGCTTGATGAGGGGAAGGGGGAGAAGGGAGCGAAAAGGCAGCGTGGGGGTGACAGCGGGTGTCGAGAAACGTAGCGCGGCTCGAGAGGGAAATGCAAGGCTCGTAAAAACTCAAACCCCATTGTTATCGTCATCATCGTGCGGTTTGTTTCGCGGTAGGCGCCACTCCGATGAAGGGGAAAGACTGAGGAAACGCGGGAGCATTTTTTACATACGCGGCCGCATCATTTTTTTATCAAACGCGATATATTGCGATTTCCAACGCAATCCCGTTAAGTGCGATCTTGATTAAATCCTTATATCTTCGGAATGACGGGTCGCGGCAGCCATTTTTTTTTCTTTTTAATTCTTTTCTTTCAATTCGTGCGTGTTCTAGTCGTTCGCGCTGCTCTTGTCGTTTTACTTACAGCAAATATTGTTCAATATTAATATATGATATTTTTTTATATTTTATACTTTATTTATTTACGCGTACGCACACTCGCACATTTTAATATATATTTTACCGTCTTTGTTTTTAAATTGTAATAATAAAAGATTGAGATTCGCGTCCGCTCTCTCATCCTGGTTCTTACGGGGCCATTTCGAACATCTCTTGAACTGTTCTTCTTTCCAGAGGATGTTAAACCGTTAATAGTACTCGAATTACAAGCGATGAACTTTCGGAGAAGTGCAAGTAGAAAATCTTATTCTTCCATTAGTTGCAAATGCACTTTACCTTAATTAAGAGTCTTACTTTGAGAGTCAGTTGCTAGGGGACTTAATATCGCAAATTAAAAAGTTGCGAAAGGAGCTAATATCCCTAATCAAATTTTCATCGGGAGGAGAAATCAACGGCGAGCCGCCGGTGGAAATCTGTAGGTGAAAAAAAAAAACGACGACGACGACAACGACGACGACGACGACGACTATATTTGCGCACCCCGCACATTCCGTGCCAGTAATTCTTTCATCCCCGATGTCACCGGTCACGTCGCCAGAAGCGTCCCGGCATTCGTTCGTAGACAAAATATATACGTTCGCGATTATACGCACTAACAACGGAACGGGGCGACAACAGGGGTGAGTAGAGAGCGAGAGCAGAGGCTATTCTTCTGCATTGATTAATGCGCCCCGTGGAGCTCGAAACAGTTTCGCTACCCTTTCTCTCTTCTTTCCTCTCACACTCTCTCTCTCTCTCTCTCTCTCACATACATACGAACACACACACACACCCACACAGTGATTCTCGCTCGACAGACCGACTCGCTTCGCGACGACAGACTCATCTCCGATTTTATGCCTCGTTTGAGAGCACGTCCCAACACAGCCCTTCCCCGAAGACACCCTCGACGATGCCTGCGACGATCCCAACCCTCTGACGACGACGACGACGACGACAACGACGGAGCGGCACGAAAATCACAGACCACGTTATTCGTGGTGCGGCCTATTTGATATTTAAATAAGCGTGTGTGTACGAGCGTGTGCGTAGTCATCGCACGGGGAACGAACCGACGTACGGGTCTATAAGTTGAACCGATGTCTTTTTTTAGAGAAAGCGGCGAGAAGAGTTTACAGGATGGTGTGGTGTACGCTACGAAGGTTACGATCGATCGGTACTCTGCTCAAGGCTGCCGGTGAGATTTTCTGTTTTATGGCAACGCCGGGAGAGAGAACACCCCTTTCCGAAGGTATTTCGGGCGAAGGTATATTGGAATAAGGCGAGAACATCTTTACGCGCTGGTACCGCCCGCAAGTTCCCAGAGCGTAGCTTCTGCCTTGGCAGAAAAATCGCCCTCGACCGAACAGAACAAGCGTTAGCTCGAGATATCGAGACATTAATTCTCAATAACACACATCTCGATATTATAGAAATGTGGGAAAAAACTAAGAGAACAAAACTAATTATTTTTCACTTGCATCGTCTTTGTTTGTTTTTACTCGCTAAGTTTCGTTTAAACTGCATGTGTGTGCAAACAAGTTGAAGGGAATATAAATTTGGCGCGCGAAAAAACTTTTTAAGAAACCTTTAGGCAGACGTTTTTAGGAACAACGTTCTAATCGCCGTTAATCGTCGTTAATCTCGCAACAACACCGCTCTAAAACAATATTCATCGCACGCGGCGTGTCTTAATCCACAGGTATCTCGGACAACGCGAGCCCTTGAAACAAAGTTGTCGGGGGCTTTCCCGGGCAAGAACTCCGGAGACACAATAACATGTTTCTGTATTATAAGCGCGCGCGCGCGCGCACGCGGAAGAAGCAGGACGGGGCCATCATCTTTGCTCCGACGAGTTTTATACACTCCTCTCTCGACGTATCGCTCTCTGAACAAGTTACGAGACGGGGGAGGGAGATATAAAGAAAGCAAGAGAGAAACGAGAACGTGCTCGTATCTGCACGCCAAATTCCTGTTTCCGGCGGACACATTTATCTCGCCGCGATTCGAGGGTTTCTTCTCCCGTAAGGCATCTCGCGAGATGCCAAGAATCCGCCTCTTTTCTTTTTCGTAACTTCCTTCATAAATACGTAATGAATTTCGCCGACAATAACGAGCGGAATGTACACTTATATTCGCACTCTTCTTTCCTTCCTCCCCATCCCGCTCGCGGCTTCAAGGGGAGAGAAAATTCAGAGCGGTAATGTCCGTCGCATCGTGCCGCGCGCGCGACGCGCCAACTATATACTTCCATATAAGGCGGAGTGAGGAAAATTATAGGTCTGTTGTATTGTGTACTTTTTTTTCCCCCCGTGGCTTTTCACGCTCGATCATTTATTTACGCAGACCCGACACCGCGATTCCACGAACCCGATCGAATTGTTCCCGAAGAAGCGACTTTTTTTTTATTATCTCAGCATCAGTTACGACGGGCTATAGCTTCGAACGCAACACGGAGCGGGTCAGTTCACGTGTGTGGCAATAAAAATAATAAGGTGTAACGTAAAAAAATATACTTGGATCGTGGATTGAGTTTTGCTTGAAACAAAAGTATTTGGAGATTTTAAGTGCGACGAGCGCAACGATTACGCGCGTTTTTCAACTCGAATACGTTTCGTAATACTTATTTCACGTGCTCTTATCAATTATTTTGCAACAATTTTTTAACTACATTCAACGTTTTTATTTGAGAGATCGATACAAGCCGATCAAAGAGATCAATTACGGTAATCAGCCTGTTTTTTTTTTTTTTTTTTTTACCAAACCCTGCCTCTTAAGGAGCGTTTTCACTTTCGTTCGAACACGTAGACCAAATTTTACGGACTTAAAAATAAAAAATAAAAATTTAAAAGTGCACACTGCACACTGTCCGAAGTTGCGGTAGAAACGCAAAAGAGAAAGTAGAAGTACAAAATAGTAAATTAATAGTTTTCCTCTCTCTCTCTCTCTCTCTCTCTCTCTCTCTCTCTCTCTCTCTCTCTCTCTCTTTCTCTCGTCTGTGTCGCTTAATGCACTACAAACATTGAACAAAGCGGGCTCTGCACTGTCTGTTAAAGAGTTAATACGGTCGACGGATCATCTTTGAGAATATAAAGAGACCCTCTCCGAAATATTAGAGGCAGTCCGTCGGTCGTCGTCTGGCATGTCGGGGGCATAAATTATACCAGAATGGAGAATGCGCCCGCACGAGTTCTCTCTTTCTCTCTCGTTTGACGACTGCTCGCTTTGTTCAATTTTTTTTTGTCGGCGTATTTCTAACATTAGATCCTCTTAAAAACGATTAATTTTTTGAAGAACGAGAACAAACGATTTCAAAGCTTGCGAACAAAAACTTTCTTTTTGATTACTCCAAACAGTTTGCGAAAAATTTATAATCAACGATGGATTTGAAGGAGTGTAAACTTACTTCGATTAGTTAAAAAGAAGAAGACAATTTTAAATAAGAGCTAAAAATTTTATCCAACGTGATCACAATAAAGTAAGCAATTTCAATAATAAATCTAATTGAAAAGAAATGAAAAAGAAACTTAAGCAGTGTTTTTAATCAGATTTAAGTTAATCAGTTCAATTAGTTCACAGGTACTACACGTTTTTACATAAATTAAGTGAAACAAGTCTCGTTGTTTACGTGTATACATATCTCGCGATACGAAAAACACGAGTTAAAAGGTAAAGATTACCTCGAACATTGGGAGGGGGAGGGTAGGGGGTTTAATTAGCGCGATCGACTAGTTAAGCAGCACTCGCGATCCGTGGGGGGTGGTTATCGAACACGCAACGTTCACGCGAATGCCTCGTGATTAGCGAGTCTAACGAGAGCTGGTTGTGCGAACGTCGCAACTGAAACCGTGGAGTTAAATTAGCGGTGTCGGCAATTTGGTCGGCGGCCAAGCGCCTAATTTACAAGCATAATAATTCAAACGCGTAATCTCTCTCCGCGAAAGTCGACGACGACGAGAATTCGCGGGAGAATTCTCTCGCTCGAGAGAAACGGGGGGGAGGGGGGAGGGGGTTGGTTGCATTCTGGGAAACGAAAGCTCCCCGCGTTGCGCCCGGAATTCACATCGCGGGGGGAAAATCGCGGATGCGCATCGCCGCGCGATGTAACGCGAGAGAATTGTCACACACACACACACACACAGCGATGAGAAAGAGGCAATTTTCCTTACTTGTACGACGAGAAAATTCGGATGAAAATTCTACTCTTGGACTCTCTCGGAGATCTGAGGTCGTAGCCACCTGCCGCTGCTTTTCCTCCGATTCCGTCACCAAGAAGAATCACCAAAAGAGAGATAAACGCGCGGGGAGAACTCTTGACAAGCGTCACGTGTCACTGAACCGCCACTTACAAAAAGTCCACACCGGCCGGTCTATCGTGTATATCCGATAGATCCTTGTCACGCGCGATTACCGCGTCCTGCCTGAGAGGGTGAGAGCCAACTCTCCGATCGCTTTCAGAACAGGTTTTCAGGACGAAAAATGTGTACGACCACTACTCGCTCCTGTCCCCTTTCGGGAGGGGGAGGCTTCGAGCTACCCGGTTTCGCGCACCCCGAGACGCCGCGAGGAGATATAACCGTGGTCGATCCGCGTGGACGCGCGCGTCTTTCCGCGTTCCTCGCGGAGGAAACACGCGTGGTTCCGCGTTCTCCGTGTCGAAGAGTTTTGCAGTCGGGATGAAAGCAAAAACCGAAAGACGGTCTACGCGATCGCGAGAGAGGGAGAGAGAGAGGAAAGACCAACGCGGCGACGGCGACGACGACGACGACGACGACGACGACGACGACGACGACGATGACGACGACGGTCGCGTGGTATCGATTCGTGGCCGTGGAAAGCCGGCGGCGAGACGGCCTAGAGAGACGCGAGAGCTTTTTCTTCGCTTTCTCTCCCTCCCTCCCCCGTGTATCTTCCTCTCCCTTCTCTCGGCGGACGATACGTTTAAATATCCGTCAGTGTTACGTGCGGACAAACGCGTGCGCTCCGTTTCGTTTCAGGGCGGTCCTCGTGTACCGGCGCGTGCACGAGGCACGCAATATCGGAGCGGCGGCTTTTGCTTTTCGTCTGGTCGCGCGTAATTACGCGCGTGTGCGTGTACGTGATTGTGTGTGTGTGGGTGTGTGTATGTTTCTGAGTGAACAGGCACAACTGATCTCAGGAATACGAATTCCTAACGGGCGCGTACGAAATATACGGAACGAATACGTCACACAGCGTGCGTACAGCTGCACGTAATACGGAAGACGAACGCGTCTCCCTCGAACGTCCGGGTCGGACTGAGCGCGGAGGGGCGCTCGACAGACCCGCGTAGTCGTTCGAGGTACCGTCTCCCCCCACCCGGAGGAGCCACGCTTCGGCTTTCCCAACCCTTGTCGCGCGACCTCCCCTCCCCGATGGCTCCGTTCGTTCTTCTACCCTACCGCGTCCAGTGCCGTATTCCGGGATGAAACTTCGGGTACTGTCATAATTAAGAAAACAGGTGTCGTAAACGTTTAGGCGCGTAGAACATTTAATTTTGTAATTGCTTGAAAACTATATATCCCAAATTTTCCAAGTGCGTGTTTGAAGAAAAAATGTAAATAAAAGAAAGGAAATCTATTTTCATCAATATTTTTCAGTATTTTTTACAAAAAAAAAGAATTATTTTTGATTAATTAGTTTGTGGATATAACAAGAGATCGGTAAAACATAATAAACTAGTTTAGAGCCTATTTGGAAAATTGTCTTTTTGACGAATCCTTCAACGAACAATTCATCATTTGATATTATTTATTAATATTAGACTTGTCTATATAATTTTCTATATTTTGATATTATATATATTTATTGTTAAAATGAGATATTCACAAAATATATTTTGATACAATTTGTAGAAATAAACGTCTATTGATTTTTTTATTTAGTACTGTTATTATGATTTATTATTGATCTGTTTATTTAGCCACTACTTTGAAATATATTTAAATAAATTGTATCATTATTTGTTTCTATGAATAAAAGACTTTGTTGTGCTTCATGTTATTTGCGAAAATAAGTAAACAATAACATTAATCGATAATATCTGATGCGCAGTAAAAGCCACAGCGCACAAACATATAAGTGCGCTTGTCTATTTGCGTGTTGCATTACTACATTATTTACTTAGGGTTAAATTATTACCCCTCGTAAAAGTTTACCCGCACGCGAGATGAAAATTTTTATAAACCCCTGTTAATATTTTTATATTCAAGTTTTTTTTATTTTTCCTTGCGATAGGCGTGAAAATTATTTTTAAAAATATATGTTTCCCCAAATTACCCACGTGCGTCATAAAAAATGTAAAATAGAAAGGACGTAAATTTCATCAAAATTTTTCTGCGGATGCGCATCTATTCATCTCTCATGTGACGCGTGCGCGTGTGTGTGTAAAACATTTTAATCTTACTTTATTAAAATTAAGATAAATTATTACTGTCTGAATTTTTTTCTCAAATAATAACTAAATTAGTTTGCAGAACCAGTTCGAGTACCAAATGTAATCGCAAAACGAGGACAATATATTGCGTTACATGATACACGTGTTGTATAAACAGTTCCAAAATTGTTTATCAAACTACATTTGTTGCGCACGAACACGTTGTAACAAACGTGTCGCAGACACAAATGCGTTATGTTTGTTTCCGGCTGCCGATGTTTCTCTATCACGGGAAAAGAGACGATGAGCGACGATATGAAAAAGATATCGAGACGACTAGCCAAGCATCTTCCGTCTCCGCGCGCTGTTACACACAAAAATAACGTTAGCCCCTCCCGTCCGCGAAACTATAGTCCATTCTCGACATACCTGATCGCACTCCGCTTTTTCGGGCCAGGTATGCTTTGCCGCGCGATTTCATAAAGGTTCTCGAAGAGAGCATGTCTCGAATGCTGTCGACCGCATCCCTCGAAGAGCAACAAGAGATACCAAAAATCATCCGTCTGTGTTGCTAACGTCTATCTCTCCTTGGTATTTTGTAAGAAAATTCACGGAACTTTTTTGAGTCAAATTGCGCTGTCCAACGGACACAAGACGCCGAGAAATGTGTGTAAAGAATATTTTACAAGTCGCATTTTACGAGCAACTCGAGCGACGCAAACACGCACACGTTGAAATAACATCAATATTCAGAGTCGTATGTGTATTACATCAATCATGTGTGTCTTACACGCGTGTCCGTGCTAGTTATCAGTTGTAATCGAATATATTTCTCTTTTTCTTCGTTCCTTTTTTTTTTTGTTTTTTCTTCACACTCCTGACGCGCGCGTCATTTCACATCGCTAATGTACGGCAGAATTAAATCGAATCTCCTGAGCTGAGACTAGGTATCTGCCGGGAACAGAAGAGTCGAGATCCGTAAACAGCTGAAACTTCACCGACAGCCCGAGCGTTCCGTTTCAGCGCAAAGTGCTAATTTAGTTTATGGTCCAGCGACATTTGTCTCAGAAACAGAAACGGCTATTCGCTCGGCGCGGAAACGGCGCGCGCGGAGCTCTCTTTCCGCGTCATTCGCCAAGATTGAAAACACGGAATTACTTGTTGGCGGATGGCAAGGGAAAGAGAGAGAGAAAGAGAGAGAGAGAGCGTGCTTCTCCCCTCGGATGCTTGGATGGGCGGTGGGCGCTAAAAAATGGTAATCCGATCGTTTCCACAGCGCACCGTCGACGCTTTACCGCGGATACGCGGAAACCCACCCTAAACCCTAAACCGGGAGAGAGAGACCCCTCCTTTTCTCTACCAGTCGACCCTGTCCTCCATATTCTTTCGCAGATCCTTTTATCAGTTTTCCCCAAGAATACGATGAAAAGGGACGAGGAACCCTCCGCCGAATAGTAAAATATTTCACGTTAGAGAAACCTCTTCTCCTTCCTCTCTTTCTTGAAAAAACCCGAGCGCATATCTTATATCGCGGAAGCACTCAACAAGGAATTTAATTCAATCACTCACAATCCAAATGTCGATACGAAGGCCTCGGACACGCATTATATTTTGGCAGTATTTTTTTTTTTTTACTCTTCCCGTGTCGTTTATCCTGAAGAGACTGTCTTCTCCCATGGGCCATCTTTCCGTTAAAAGATTTCTTTTTTATTTAAATTAAACACACATGTATAAACCCCAAAGCAACATGTAAATGATACATGATATCGTAAAAACAAAAGAGATAAAATAATATTTCGTCCAATTTGAAGGAAATGTTTAGTCTTAATTGGCTGAAAAATAGAAACTGAGAAAAGCAACTGTAAAAAAAAAAAACAAACAAAAAATCAATTTTTTGTACGTGCAACTTTAAAGATTTCGTTCGAGACGCGAAGAAAACCTCATGGATTTTTTCTCGAGCTTCTCTCATTCATCCGTTTAAGAGCGCTCGGGCGTGGGCGGCTTCGTTTCTTGTACTTCAACAACGATCTTTGGCGGAACGAAGATTGTTGCTGACGCAGACTCGCGTGGAGGGTTTTCGGGCGCCGTTTGCTCCGTTCTCACCGCAACGCGAGTTACGGATAATAACAGCGGCCTATCCGGTAGCCACACCGGAGTCAAACCGCAACCCATCGGCATACGCCGCACGTACCGTAGATATAATACGTGTGTGTAGGTGTGTGCGCGTATGTGTGTGTGTGTGTGTGTGTAAGTGCACGCCAGCGCATGCGGATTTCCGTACATAGTGAAGAGAGAGAGAGAAAGAGAGAGAGAGAGAGAGAGAGAGAGAGAGAAGTTAGCGAGGGTGCGCGCGTGCACCTGCGCACACCGTGGTACTTCACGTACGTACTCGAAAGGGTGAAAACTGCACACGCGATGTTACCTATACGGAGGGGTACAGTTCTCTCTACTCCACTCGACGGGTGCACACGGACCGGTTAATGCGCGCCCGAAAACTAGCGTGTAAATCCAAAGCCGCGTAAATCAAAAGCGCGCCGAACAAGAACCGCTCGTATTGCGAGCGGCAAAATCGGTTCTCGCTTTGTGCGAATTTGATTTACAAGCTAGTTCGCGGGAATGCATTAACCGCGGCGTATCGAGAACTGTCTGCAGGTGCTTGATACACGGCGATGGCGGACGCGGTCCTGAGAATGTAAAGGTCGGTGTAAAACGCGCGCGCGCGCGCGCGCGATCGACAGGATGCGGGATTGCATTAGAAAACATCGTTCTAGAGAACAAGAATGAACAACTGGACCGACCATCTCGACAAAGAATCCATCCGCGAAACGCGTAAAACGCGTCCGTTTTATTTGCGAAACGTGTAAACTCTATGAAATATTAACACGTGGTACGATATATTTACATGTACGAGTTTTTTAGAAAATTATTTAATGACTTATAA